GCCGTTCCCTCCATCCGCTCAAACTCGGCGCCAATCCCCTGTCTCCGCGCTCCTCCGGATGCCGCAATGCAGGACTCAGCCACCACTCTCCGTCTGAAGCTGTGGTTGTTCGCGGTTTCACTGCATGCTCTGTAGCCTCAGGAACCTGCAGCTTCTCCTTTGGTCGAACCACCATCTGAGGAGCCTCTGTATCACCGGCTACAGGCACCTCCATCTGCTCAGCAGCTTCTAACTGCTCCTCCTCCAACGGCTCCACTCCCTGTGTCCCCTCCGCCATTATGCTGTAAGCTAGATGGCTTTGGGGTGAGTGCTAACTTACTAACAGAACGTCCTAACCGTGCTTCGCGAAAGCCAGGAAACAGGAACGTTGCAGTATTCAACAAGCTTTATTCACTATGTTGAAACTAAGTTAGCACTGGAACGAAGCTCCATTCATTGCCCTAAATACATTCCTCCACCACACCCAGAGTACACACCCCAATTGACGGTTAATTGGTCATCTGGAATCCACCTGTCCCCCTCCCCATACCTGCCTTGTGATAGTCCTCCACCCTACCTACGCCCTGAACCAGCTAGTACTTATGTTCAAACCTTACATTGAGTCCACGCCCCGATCCAGCTAGTACTTATGTTCAAACCTTGCATTGAGTCCACGCCCCGATCCAGCTAGTACTTATGTTCAAACCTTGCATTGAGTCCATGCGTTCCGTTCACGCCATTCTCATCCCTAATGTCCCACTCAACCTCTTCCTTTAATACCCCCTCCCGGTATCCAAGTGTTGTCAGACCCAGCGTCCCAGTTCCCATCATTCACAGAGTCACAGTTCCAGCAACATAAGCCATAACAGTTTTAACAGCAGTCGGCTTCTCCATATTCCATTTCTATGTAGCCTCCGTCCGGTTATGTGTTGGCAACATAGGATGTTCACGTGACCCGTTCGGCCGCTGCTGTTGGCGATGTAGCTCACGAAGCTACCGGACTCGGCTGGAACACAGGGTTAACTGGAACATTCTGGACTTTGGAAGGTAAGTATCACGCTGGGTCTGACAATTTGGATTTGAGCACAAATCACGTCACTGAATCAATATGCTCTTTAGTACACTAACATTTTTTCTCTCTTTGCTAGTCAATAGATAGTTAATCTACTTTCATTAGATTTCCCACAGTTGGTTTAACAGACTAAGGGAATACATTCCTAGGGAAAGCCTGTTTCATTTTTAAATGCCATGAGGTATATAAATGTCCTATTGATCTGATGTGAAGAATTCAGTGCTGTGCCATCCTGTCTTTATAATATTATTCTAAGTACAGTATTTTAGTTAAGTCCTTGTATAATTAAGCCAGAGGTGAAATATCATAATCCAGACTCTGAATAAAAGATAGGGCCCCTTTGGTAATTCTCTATTATTTCTTCTTTCTATTTTCAAGTCCCTGAAATCACCTGATTTCTTACTGATATAAGGGGCGACAGAAATATTATTTATCCCAATCCACCCACCTTCTAAGGAAACCTCAAAAAAATGTACCCAGGGAACAATGGGGAAAATATTACTTGGAAGTGGATCTTTCCCCACTTCCAAATAATAAAAAAGTAAATCACACCCAGCACATTGGTTTCTGTTGAGATCTCATGATATTGCATTCTCTCCAATCAGAAGAGACAGACACCTAGATGAATAGATGTTATTGTACTGGATTGCCTGTTCCTCCCATATATTTCAAAGGTAAAGTCAAGATGTGTGAATAATGACATATTTCTTTTCCCATGAATTTGGAAGGAAATCAGGTAAGAGGTTTGAAGTGCCAACACAGAAAAGTCCATACTTTGCAATCTACACCTTTGGAATTAGAACTTCAGATAATTCCTGCAGGACAACTCACCACAGCCAACTCACTGAGGGACAGGAGTTACACTCAGGGCTTTTTTTCTCATAGAACACTCAGAACGGAGTTCCGGCACCTTTTTTTGGATGGAACCTTGTAGGGTAGGCAAGGCAGGTTGTATTACGTGTGTGATTTCCGGAACATTTTTTTTTTTTTAAGAAAAAAGCACTGGTTACACTAATGTCTAAGAAATGGTGGAATAGAATCATTTAAAAAAGGATACAAAAGGAAAGACAAAATGAAATGGGAATGACAAAAATTAAAATATTTTTTTTATTTATTTTAAATGATTATATTAAATTGTTAAATTGTCCCATGGTGACTTGTTCCATGGTGAGTTGGCCAGAGCCAGTTGGCCACAATGAGTTGGCTATGGTGAGTTGTCCCATTCTGGCTTCAGATTTATGTTCATCCTTGAAGCAACTGATTTTTCAGGAAATATATGTAATTAATTTACTTATACTCCATCAGATGGGTTTTGGAGAATGCCATGGATAATGTCTCAGGTGCATATTTAACTGAAAGACTCAAATCTGCTCATTGCATAGCATTGAGCATGGTCTCAGCTTCTCAGATTTTGTTTACCCCTTCCACTTCAGCCTTTTTTGGTATTGCACTCCAAAGCACCATCTCCTGACCCCCTACTAAATAATGTATGACAGCAAATGTCATCACATTATGAGGAAGTCATTAACAGGCCATTTTTCAGATTAATGCACCAGGGAATTTCGACTAGATCTTATTTGTAATCATGAAGACTGATAGTCTTCCACATTTTGAAAGATACAAGACATTTAACAGGGCCCTCCAATAGGTTGTCCAATATATCATCATCTGGAGTTAACCATTCTGGGGTATCTGACTTTATATTGAGGAAGATGATTTTATCCACATCAGACAGAATAAGATGGAATTACAATGGCCTGCTGACTAGTTCAAGAGTGTTGAACTGTTTTTCCACATTTTAATCTTTAGAATCCCAAGAATAGGTTTATAGAGTAAAAAAAAAATCAAACTTCCCTGAATTATTGATTTCTTGATTCTCAGATTAGGATTATTGTCCTGAGCCAAACAAAATTCATTTCTCTATCTTCACACTTTTGTGGCAATGCTCGTTCCCAATTCCCCTTCTAATTATTAAAATCATAATTATTTATTCCCCTTTGAACAAGGTTTATTGGATTTCCACCATCCCAATTAGTTACCAATCAATGTGACAACAAATGGGATATACAGCACCTGAAAGCCTGATTTATAACAGCCTCCTTCTATGATGAGAGCAGAGGTTGGAGTAAAATCAAGCAAATACTGTAACAGTCTGCAATTGCAGATAATTCTTCCAAATCTGGGGCCAAACTAGAACTTCTTTACTGTAGTCTTCTATGAATTTTGAGATTTAACTCTGTGCTGAATAAAGAACTATAGGAAGGATCTTCTGCAGTATGTATCAAATGTTGCTGTTGCTGCGTAAACAACTTTTTCTTCTTCAGCTTCTGTCTCAAATTCCCTGTGCCTATATGCTGATGAAATGTCCACTTAAGGTGATAATAGAAGAAAAGGAATGTTTCCATTACTACAAGCCAGGAGACTATTTAATTACTGGAATATTGTCTGGAACCTTATCTCGACTGTACCAATTTTCATTCTCCAAACCTCCAGCCCACCAACTGAAAAGGTAACTGTCAGCAGGTCCAGGATTCTGGTCTTTTCTAGCAATGATTTCCTTTCCCCTATTCCTCACCTTGAGAAAGGCAAGTCATTATTGCTTCTCCCAATTTGCTTTGGAGGAAAGGTTACTAGGGAACATGATGATTTTGCAAAACCTGAGTTCCTCCACTAGTGTCAAGCTCAACACTGGGCAACACTGGGCATTGCCAACACGGTCCCAAATGACTCTTACCTGGATGGGGTTCTGCCTACTTTCAAAATGATTACCTTGGTACTGTGGAGAGTCAGCAATTTATTCATATTTATTTTATTTATTTATTAATAGATAAACAGTAACTCCCAATAAAGTAATTGAAAACCTCAGAGCAGAGGGAGATTACTTGTACTTTCTCCCTACCATTTCTTCCCTTTCTTTACATTTAGTCTGTAATTCCTACCACCCTCTCCACTCTTTCTTTCCACCCTTTAACACTTTTGCTACTTTTGTGGTTACCCTGTTCCTTTTGGTTTAAATAAAACGCATACCTTTTAAAAACCAAATTCAAGGAGGGGAGAGACTTATAAGTGAATATTTAGTCACAGAGGATCACATTAATTGTAGTTAACTGTAGAATATAGGGAAATAATTCTAAAGTCATGAATATTCTGCAGCAAATCTCTAGATCTAAAGAAGGCTTATGAAGAGACATCCATCTTCAGATAGGAAATACCACTGGCTAATCTAGCACTTGAATCCAGCTGTTAGTCATCTCCAGGGGGATATAACAGGAAGAAATCCTATAATATGAACACAACATATACATGTATACTTGGTAGCATCCCTCATTAGCATTCTGGAGGACTGGGAAGACACAGATCTTCCCTTAAGCATTGTGCTAGGATGGGGGTTGTGAGCTGTAAGCATATCTAGTCTGGTGCCTGGGGTAAGGGCATGATTTTAATTATATTTTATGGATTGTTGTGAACTGATATATTATCTCAGGAAATAGTTAAGTAAACAAAATAAATGCTTTGATTTTGCAAAAGGTTATTCTAAACAGATTGAAACAATAAAAGAAAGTACAAAGGCTTCTAACTATTGTGTTTGTTTTTCTTACCTGGTTACTAAAGTATAAGAATCATTTTCCTCATTTTTCCCCCCAAGTCATAATTTGGAGATAATTGTAGGCAGAATCAGTTCTGGTAATTTTGGTAGGACTCTTTTGATCCTGACATAAGAAGCTTACTATATCTCCCTGATATTTCTTTTGGCAAGAAGCTGCTAGTGGTGACAATGGGACTGTTCTTCTAATAGAAATTTCAAAGATATCTATCACCTGCAAAGATCAAGTAAATTGAATAATTTAATTAAATAATGAGTGTCTGATTATCTTTTTGGCATTGCACTATATAGCTATAAAGCTACAGTAAATATGACATGCTTTTATGAAAATCCAAATTGAAGATGATGACCTTTGGAAATTTCTTATGTTGCAGTGAGAACACCTTCTACCACCTTCTGCCCTTCTTGTTGGCTGTTCATGAAATCAACCAGAATTCAAGGCTCTTACCCAACATCACCCTGGGCTACAACATCTATCAGAACTTTTTCAGTGCAAGAATGACATATGAGGCCATGATGGACGTGGTGTCCACAGGGCAGGAGAACATCCCAAACTACAGATGTGGAAGACAAAAGAACCTGCTGGCAGTCCTTGAAGAGGTGGATTCTGAACTCTTTGATCATGTTTCTAATGTCTTGAGCATTTACAAAATCCCACAGGTATAAAGCCAAATGAAATTAATTCCATGTTGTAAATTCTTCAGATATACAAATATATCAGAGTTAGAGAATAAATATTAGAAGAGCTGAAAAGTGACCAATACAAAAGAGCTGGTTTTGTATACAGAATCATAGAATAGAAAAGTCCAATTCCCTGCACGGGCCAAGAATGGTCAGACCACTACAAATAAATTGCTGTCCAATATTTCCTCAAAAATATCCAGCGATGGAGCTCCAGGACACAGGATGTTCCAACTCTTAATAACTTTCAGTGAGGAATTCCTCATTATTATAATCTTGAAACTGAAGTAAAAATTGGGAAAGAAAGATATGAAAGAAAAACGAATGGGTCAAGATAGTTTGAGGGCACCTCCAGAAAGCAGCTTTTACATACTTTCTCCAGTGTACAAGACAAAAGAAAGTATGTCATAATATTCTTTCCTATTTTGAACTGGAACTTGGCACAATGCCAGTTGTCTTGGGTTTTTTTTTTTAAAGTTAGATTATTAAACAGACTTCTGCATTCCATATGTCTGAAAGAAATTCAACCAATTAAAGAGTTCACATAGAAATATTTGAAAACAATTATATGAATGAAGACAATGAAATAATATAACAATATTAAACAATTGCTAGGGGGGATATAAAAAACAGTATTTCAACTCCAACATATGAAGCAATGAAATAAGCAGTAATGTTCTATGAGAATTTAACATGTTTGTCAGTTTAAAAAGATATTCCATGAGTGGGTGGGTGACCCACAGAGTTACAATGTGGGTAAAAAAAAGAGTATGTAGGGATCATGTGAGCATAAGTTGTTGACAGCAAAAGTGCTGCATTGCATTTACTCCATCACTCAGGCAAAACTGCAAGGGTAAGGGTTGACCAGAGAGATGTGCTCCAACAGGACCACCCATGAACACCACCCACAGATAATTCAGAGCTCCCTAGTTTCAAAGGGAGCATACAAGACAACAGAAGGAACATCAAGGGAGCCAGTAAAATTCATGCAGTTATTGTTTGAAACTTCTCTCAGCAATAGAGAAAGGCCCTTAGATTTACCATGTGACTTTTATCATTAAAACTGACCCAAATACGAATACCTTCTGTTTTATCTTAGATCAACTATAATGTCATCAACCAGATTGCTGAGCAAAATAAACATTTTCCTTTTTCATATCGGATGACCCCAAACCAAAAACCTCCCTACTCTGCGATTGTCAATCTGCTCCTGCATTTCCAATGGACGTGGATCGGCCTCCTTTCTCTGGACAATGACAGAGGAGAAAAATTCAAAAGAAGCTTGGAAGCTCTTGCTCTAAAAAATGGGATTTGCATTGTCCTCTCAGGAACCATCCCAGAAGCAAATATGAAGACAAGTGCTAGAGACACCCTCATGCAAGAAAAATGGGAAATGTTCCTTTCTCTTATCAAGAGTCAAATAAAAATTATAGTATGCCAACTGGATTTTAAGGCCTCGGGGATACTAACAACAGTAATACAAGAGCTTGATAAGAGTAAGAAATTCATTGTGGGAAGAGTATGGATTGCAACAACTTTGACAGCTTTAAGTGTAGTTCTTTTTGACCTCTTGGTTGATCTCCAAAATAAATATGCTTTGTTTTCCTTCCTCATCCAGACAAAGGGAAGGACTCAGTATTATGACTTTAAATCTTATACATCTATGGTCACAGTGTATGGAAAGGAAGCATTCCAATGTTCCATTTCAAGTCCTTTGTTATCTAAGAAGGTTTGGAAAAAATGCAAAGAAAAAGAGAACTGGGAATTCCCACCCCATGATGTGATTGCAAGAATCCTCTCTCAGGATCCCTCTGGTATTTCCAAAGTAATTCAAAATGTGGCATGGGTCCTCAGTGCTGCCTCTTCCTCCCAACGGAGTAAGAGGAGAATGCAAGTTGGATATTATGAATCATCCCAGATTGTGCAGCCATGGCAGGTAAGTCTTCTTCTTTGAGGTTCTACTGATTTCCCCCTTCCAATTCCTCAATATTAAATTAGATGTATAGAGGGGTGAAATATTCCAAAGAACAATTGCCCAGTTTGTAGTATTTGAGAGTGAGTTTGAGAACGAGATGATGGAGAAAAATCTTCCAAAGTTAAACAAACTGTAATGGTATAGGATGCGTTTGTGACAGAAATAGCTCTACGGTGACAAGGTGATTTTCAAAATTAAATAAGCATCCGAATATTTCAGCAATCCTCAACCCTTTTTTCTGATCACAAAGTGATCTAGTTTCCTAGCTAAGGTGTTAGGCTTGATTGTTTGTTCTGGATTGAAATTGGACTTTGCTAACTAAAGATTTCTAACATAGCAACAAGATAGAAATCAATGTCTTTTAAAAGCATCTTCTGAGGGCCAAAAAAGTTCATCCACACATCTCCTGAACTAATGCAGAGGCTTCCATAGCTAGTCTTTGAAAGAGATAACATCACTATGCAATTTGTATTGCATTCCTAGCCCGGAGTTAAGCTCTGCTAACTTCATCTTGATCAGGACTGATGGTAAAATTGTATTCTCCATCTTCTCCCATTACAAGGTTTCCCATATTTCCAAATGGTCTTACCTCAGGTGGGGCTGTGATGGTGAAACAACAAAATGGAGAACATAAAACACAGAATAATAGAGTTGGAAGGGATCTCAGAGATTTTCTAGTCCAACCCTACTCGAGCAGGAGACCCTATGCCATTTCAGAAAAATGGTTGTGCAGTCTCTTTTTTGATGCTCCAGTGATACAGCACCCACTATTTCTGAAGGCAAGCTATTTCATTGGTTGATTGCTCTCACCATTAGAAAATTTCTCCTTAGTTCTAGGTTGCATCTATCCTTGGTTAATTTCCACCATTGTTTCTTGTCTTACCTATTGGTGCTTTGGAAAATAGTTTGACCCCATCATCTTTGTAGGAGCCCCTCAAATAGTGGAAGACTGCTATCATGTTTCCCCTAGTCCCTATTTTCCTTAGACTAGACATACCAAATTCCTGCAACTGTTCTTTATATGTTTTAGCCTCCAGCCCTCTAATCATTTTTGCTGCTCTTCTCTGCCCTGTTTCCAGAGTTTCAACATCTTTTTTAAATTATGATGACCAAAACTGGATGCAGTATTCCAACTATGTTCTTTCTAAGGCTTTGTAAAGCAATACTAGAATTTCACATGATCTTGATTCTATCCCTCCATTAATGCAGCTTAGAATTGCATTGGCTTTTTTGACTGCTGCCACACACTATTGCCTCATATTTGAGTAATTGTCTACTAGGACTCCAAGATCCCTCTCACAGTTACTGACATTAAGCCAAGTTTCACCTAGTCTATATCTATACAGTTAGTTTTTCTTGCCTAAGTGCAAAACCTTACTTTTATCTATGTTGTTAGATAGGGCTCCGTTTTCAAGTCTATCCTTTTTGGATCTTGGGCTTGTCTTCTGGGGAGATGGCTATTCCTCCCAGTTGAGTATCATCTGCAAATCTGATGAGTTCCCTTTCAATTCGCTCATCTAGATTTTTTATGAAGATATTGAAGAGAGTTGGGCCTAAAATGGAACCTTGGAGTATCCCACAGCTTATTCCCTCCATATGGATGTAATTCCCTAGAGGACTACACATTGAGTATGATTTGTCAGCCAGTTATAAACCATTTGGTGGTGGTGTTGTCTATCCCACATTTTCAACAAAGTGAGATAAATGTCTGAAAAAGAGCTGTGGAGCCCTGGAGAATGATGAGAGAAGCTTCCCATGAAATGCTGAATCAATCTCTTTCAGACTGTAGAGGTGTTCTGACGAGGTTGAATTATTCAGAGTACTTCTAGTCCAAAATAATAGCAGAAAAACATTGAATAAAGGCTCAAATTGTAATGTTTTTTTTCTCTGCTTCTGCAGCTTCATAGGTTCCTGAAAAACTTCCAACATCACAATATTTCCAGAGATGGGATTTATTTTGATGAAAATGGAGTTCCTCTTGGTGACTTTGATATCATGCACTGGACATCATTTTGGGAAAAGTCTGATGCAGGGGTGAAAATTGGGAGTGTAGAAAGAGAAGCCTCCTCGGAAGTCAAGATTTCCATCAATCAGAGTGCCATTCAATGGCCAACGTCATTTAACAAAGTAGTTGATGGTTTTTGCTTTTCTATTTACCTCCATATGTGCAATCTTTTCTGCTCAGAAATAATACTTATTGAAGCCAATTGTGATGACTTCCAAATAAGCCTCATTAATTTATTAAATAACATTTTATTTTAGAGGTTTTTCAGTAATCTATCACACATTGGAACCTGCTGTACCATCAATTGTATTAGGGAATTTGCAATCTACATTATTAAATTGGAATAGGAACCCATAATTTACAGTATATCAAATCATCTTGTTTTCAGTAAGAGAAAATCCAAAATACCTATGGAGATTCTCGGTATCCACATCATTGTTGTGCCAAAGGCGCTTTTTAAAAAGGAGTTTGTTTTTCCTTGAAGACATTTCACTTCTCATACAAGAAACTTCTTCAGTTCTGACTGAATCATGGAGGATAGAAGGATTTGCAACTGCTGAAGGATTATGTTGTAAACAGGATACAGATTCAGCAGTTCCAAGGTTCCACACCCATTTGCACTATTCAGGTGACCCTACAAGTAGCCTTAACAACTCTCAGAAAGACTGCTAATGACCAGATGACTACAAGGAATAGAAATCCTTTCATCCTCCACCATTAAATCAGAAGTGAAGCAGCTTCCGATATGAAAGGCGAAATGTATTCAAGGGAAAACAAAGACCAGTTGCCTTTTGAAAAAGTACCTTTGAGAAAAATCCAGAATATGAAGAACTTAGCCCACTGAATTGCATAAGAGAAAGATGTCATTAAGAATGTGGTGAGGGAAATGAGGGCAGCTAAAAAAGTCATTTAAATAAAATTATACAATGATCAATTGTAAAAGAGAAAAATAATGACTGAAGAGAAAGCTAAATTTTGGAGGTTTCCTGAGAAAGCAAAGTTGGTAAAAAAAATAAATTATAGCATTCTCATAAATGCCCTAAGGAGAAAAACCTTTTGCAATGGAACTACTTTCCTTTGGAAAGAAGAATAAGGCAACAAGTCTGTTTTGGGATCTGCAATAGAGATTGATAGAGAAAGAGAATCACCTTTCATTTGACACTTGCAAGCAGAGTAATTAAAACCCATGCCACGAGTAGATTTCACTTAGCCCTTCTAATTCATATATTGCCCTGAGTAATTGTTCTGTTTATTTTTAGACAGTGCCTTATTCAAGATGTACAAAAAGTTGCTTCCCAGGTTATGCCAAGCTTGTGAGAGAGGGGGCACCAGTTTGCTGCTATGACTGTTCTCTGTGTATGAAAGGAACATTCTCTGTGCAAGAAGGTATAGTAGGTGGCTCCAAAAAGAAAAAAGAAAGAAAGAAAAAAAACAGTATACAATCAATATTCTCTCTTGCTTTTTTAGAGTATTTGATAAAGAAGCAAGAAAAACATTAAATTTCTTTTAGGCATCCACAAACATTTCAAAGATTGGGCACTAGCACCAAATTTTGTTTGATGATGTGAACATTAAAATAAATAATGAAAGGTTGTTGTTTTCTATTGAGTTGTAATTTTCTTATTTGGTTTTAGGCAAGTGGAGAAGCTGATAATCACATTTATCTTTAGCCTTTAAAAAAAGAATGTCGACTATTTTAACAAATGTTGTGTCATATGGATATCACTGGGCAGAAATATTATATTATTCCTTGAAAATGAAGTAATTGATTTTGTTGTGGTTTTCATGCTCTTACAGCTGCAGAAACAGATACATACTAACAATTTTTTTCAGATGCATCCCACTGTGACAAGTGTCCAGATGACCATCATTCCAATAAGAAGCGAGATCAGTGTGTCCCCAAAACTATAAGCTTCTTATCTTATGAAGAATTGTTGGGATTCATCCTGGCTTTCTTTGCCATTGTTTTCTCCCTGACCACTGCCTTAATTCTGGGAACCTTCATTAAATATCGAGAAACTCCCATAGTCAAAGCCAACAACTGTCAACTCACCTACATCCTCCTGGTTTCACTCCTGCTTTCTTTCTTGACCCCTCTTCTATTCATTGGTCGCCCCATGAAAATGACTTGTTTGCTTCGACAAACCATTTTCAGTATTGTTTTTTCAGTTGCTGTATCTTCTGTTCTGGCCAAGACGGTAATGGTGGTGGTGGCCTTTCTGGCCACAAAGCCAGGCAGCAGCATGAGGAAATGGCTGGGGAAGAGTCTGCCCAACTCTATTGTCTTATCCTGCTCTGGTATTCAAGTAGGCATCTGTATGATATGGCTGGGAATTTTCCCCCCATTCCCAGATTCTGACTTTCATTCCCAACCAGGACACATCTTGTTGCAGTGCAATGAAGGCTCGGTTGCCATGTTCTACACTGCCCTTGGCTACATGGGTTTTCTAGCTGCCATTTGCTTCTTGGTGGCATTTCTGGCTCGAAAGCTGCCAGGGAGCTTCAATGAAGCCAAACTGATCACCTTCAGCATGTTGGTTTTTTGTAGTGTATGGATCTCCTTTGTACCCACCTACTTGAGCTCCAAAGGGAAATACATGGTAGCTGTGCAAATCTTCTCCATCCTGGCCTCCAGCCTGGGTTTACTAGTCTGCATCTTTATCCCCAAATGCTACATTATTATTCTGAGACCTGCCATGAACACCAAAGAAAATCTGATGATAAAAAATCATTAAGTGTCCTGATATTGGTCTTTATTTTTGTACAGTTTACATTCAGTATAACATCACATACTTTGAAGTCATGTTTTATGTGTTATAGCTTATCTTTCTTCATTCCATGTGAATTTTGTATTATAATAATTGAGTAGTAATGTTGCTAAAACAACTCAAATTATTTGAAATAACTATATCCTTCAATTGCCACAATCTGAATTCATGTTAAATCATAAGTATCATCAATGACATTAATAAAATTTCTGAAACCAGGCCAGAGATGTTACCAGAGATGTTCTGACATTGTTTTAGATTAAATGAAAGACTACGGCTAATGCTGATGTATGTTTTTGTTGCTATATATATTGGTGTTATATTTTATTTTGGGGGATGATATTCTGACTTTAAAAATAGTTAATTTCAAATATATATTTGATTGGTCTCTTCTGGCTGGATAATGGAAGATAATAGATAGATAGATAGATAGATAGATAGATAGATAGATAGATAGATAGGAAAGATATAGATAGATAGATAGATAGATAGATAGATAGATAGATAGATAGATAGATAGATAGATAGATAGATAGATAGATGAGAGAGATTGAGAGAGAGAGAGAAACAGAGAGACAGATAAGATTCTAAGTATTAAGAATAGATAAAATATCAACATGAACACTGGGGTAACTTTTATTTTTTTTTTCTCCATACTTTTGAATAAATTAATGAGACAAATTATTATTTTAGACTGTCTTCAATCAAAAGAAAAATATGTACAATTCTGAATGATTTGATAAAAAGTCATGTAGACACCTGATGTGACAATGAAGGTGTGTTTATGAGAAGTATTAAAGCAAATTCCTGTTTTTTATCCATGTCCATATCCATATCCATTTCCATATACATATAGTGTGTGTGTGTTTTTGTGTGTGCTGCCATCTTAGCAATTAGAAAGAACGTAAATTGAAATAGATAAATAGGTACCAATTCAGTGGGAAAGTAACAATGTCCTCTGCCCCTTTGCACGGTGTATAGTCATGCCGGCCATATGACCATGAAAGCATCTTCAGACAAAGCTGGTTTTTCATTTGTGAATCAAAGATAAGCACCAGTCCTTCGGTTGGTCAAGACTGACAGAAGCAATCTTTACCTATACCAATCTAAACCTTTACCTTTAAATATGTAAGGGTTTTTTGTGTGCATGTGTCTTTTCTTTGTCTTTGTTTTTTTGTCTAATGTAAAACAGATTAGGAATGCTATGTCATGTAAGTCAGTACTACTTTTATTTGATCTTGTTCTGATAATGCCATTACCTCTGCCTTCTACACTATCTGTCTTTGGATATTCAGAAAGCACTGGAAAAGCAAAGCCCTCCCAAATGCAATTGCAATGTAGGTCTTTTATTCACATACTGATCAATTTCACTCATTATGCTAAGTCAGGATTCTAGATTGTCCTAATTTTGATTTCTGTCATTGTAGCTTCTTACCTACCCTAGTTACTTCTGGGTTATCTGCAAAGAGATGGTCTGCACATCATGAAAAATCCTGCCATTCCTTTGCAAGAGTCACACACTTCTGGTTCCTAGATATGTGAAGTATGTATGTATGTATGTATGTATGTGTGTGTGTGTGTGTGTATGTGTATTTATATGTATGTTTTGGCTTAGTTTGGATCTAGGATTTTACTCATTTCCTGTGAGAGAAACAGAGGGGAACAGATGTTTTTGGCTATGAGAATCATATACATAACAATCATAAAGATAAGTTATGGGGACCCCCATTAATTTTTTTAAAAGCAGGGCCTTTTTCTAAATAAAATATTTATTGGATTTGCCACCCTTCACTTTTAAAAGAGTGGAAACCATTAAGCAATAATAGAGGTATAATACAGCTGAAGAAATTCTACAAATCTGGCATTCCTTGAATGTACTTTCAGTTGAATCTTATCATTTGCTTTTAATCATCTCAAATCCCAAAACCAACATGTTTCAAAGGGAAAGGGAAAAAAATACTCCTAATGGGCAACTTGATATTTTAATTTTTGATAAACATCATGACAACTTTTATTCTCATGATTTTCTTTTATTTTTTATAAATGTTTTATTGATTTTCTATTTTCACATACAAGTGCTCACATACAAGTGCTCACATTTTCACATACAACGTGATGATTGAGTCCATTAGTAATTCTGTGGTACATATAAGCTTCTTCCATCTAAGTCCACTATTACTCCTGCCAGTACATCCTCTCTTCTTCTGCCAATAACCATTTTTCCACATCAAGCAAACACAGTTCTTATTATTGTTAGTAAGCATACAATTGTATATCCACAATTGTTACACTTTTTTAATAATATCAATAATATCAGTTTAAAATATCTTTTCTAGCCAAAGCATATCTCAATTTCCACTTATTTAATCCATATCCTATTTTTGCTTTTTTTCATTTTAATTTCCCATCCATGTTCAAAGTAGTGGAGGCTTAGAGAAAATATATGGGAAACATCAAGAAAATATTGTAGATGTTATTGCTGTAATCAGGTAATCTCCTGGCTTGTAGTGATTAAACTTCTTAAATTCTTCTATTGTCACCTTCAATGGACATTTCATCTGCATCATGGCACAGGGAAATTGGGACAGAAACAGAAAGAAATGCATTTTCAGCAATAGCACTTGAAGATATTGATGGAGATGGAGAAAGTTCTTTCTCTGGCATAAAATTGAAGTTCAGCAATCTCAAAATAGCTCCTCTGCAGTGAAGATTTTTCAGCTCCAATTATGGAAGAGAAACCTGCAATTTCAGACTAGCATAATCTCTGCCTAAGTCTAATTCTTTCACTAGCCAGTGGAGAAATTTTAATTTCTTCTTATTGTGTCTTGTGTGAACAAAACCATCTTCTTCAATGAAGGTCAGATATTCCCGAATGCTGATCTCTAGGTAATGATATATTCAATTGGACTAGAATGCAATTACTCAGCTGTTGGTGTGTCAAAGGGATTCTGCACTGATTTCCTATTAGCTTTGGTCCTTACTAGCTTCTAAATGCAGTTCAAAGTTTTGATCTTTAAAATCAAACTCCCAGAATTGTCCACAGACCTCAAAATTTCAAAGATTCAGGAACATTGGATTTTTTGGAGGAGGGCAGTGGTGGGATTCAGCCAGTTCGCACCATTTCGGCAGAACCAGTTGCTAATTTTTTTTATAACAAATTTTATTGGTTTTTTAACTTTTACAACAGAATACTCAAGTCACACCATGGTGGTTAGGTGATCAATCATCCAAAAGCAAAATCATATAATAGCTCAAGTAAATACATTAAATGTTCCCTCTCTATTTCCCTCAAATAATATTTCTACATTACATATCTATAAATCCTAATCCTGTTTTGAACTTTAATTTACAGTTACCATAGTCCAATTTAATCTTAGATAAATGTAGTATCCCTTCTAAAATACTAATCCAAATATATTCTAATTCATAATCTCATAAATCATTGATTTTATCACAGATCTCTCTTATTTCTTCAGATAGCATTTAAATCACGTCTAAAAATAAGAACACACCTATTATTACACAAAACATCGTCTTACTAACTTAACACACTCAATTAGTTGTTAAAGCAATCTGAATTTCTAAAAACCTCTTTCATATTCTTATTCTCATTCCATTACAAAATAATTTTCATACAAATAAACATATTATTCCAAAAAATACATTCTTACTCTGTTTAACATATATATTCTAATAATCACAAATTTTCAACTCTAAATCTTAGTCCTTAAATCAGTCCATATTTCTCAAAACCTTTTTAATCTATTACATATAATTTTAAATTTATCTTTTTAGTCTTATTCTGCCTTCTTTTTTATGCCAAGAAGGTTTCCATAACAAAGCCTCTATTTCAGCAAATAGATCTCCCATTATTGCTTCTAATGTCATTTGGGTCAGTAAAAGACCTCCCATCCTCTGTTTTTTGATGCCTGGCTGCTGTCTGCTGGATAAAACACTTGATCATGTCCAATTTTATAATTAGTAGTTGATTATCAAAGTTGTCATAATTCTCCAACAGTTGTAATTTCAAGACCATTTCTGTTAGTTTTGCAATTGTAGATAGTTTAGTTACAATCATTTTTGGTCATCCAAAGTCTCCATAGGTTGTATGTAAATTAATTCCTCTTCTATTGCTTTTTGGTCTGTAGAATGATCAAAGAGTCTGAAGGTCAGTTTGTAAGTTCACAGTAGAATTTCTGTTTATTATTTCTGCAGTTCTCTCTCTTATTTGGGAACATATTTCCTCAGTAGCTTCATAAATTTTTTCCAGTATGAGTTTACAGTTGAGTTGTGAATATGGTTTCTCCATTTTAGTAGTAACACAAACAAGAAATGGTTGCAGTTTTAAATTTCTCCACAAGATGTCCTCAGTAAACTATGAAAGTCTCTTCCAGACACTAAGAATGAGATTAGCAAAGTCAAAGAGCTATGGAATCTCTTTTCCGGCTTCTCATAGAGTTCTTGCTGTTGTTGTTTTTTCAAACAATAAAGCTTTATCCCTTTAAAAAAATAAGTCCAAGACATAGGAAAACAATATTCTCCAGCTTAGGAGATATAATAATAAAGTTTTATGATAAGGATTTTTCCACGGCCCCCAAGTAACCAAAAATAAAAATAGTCAATAAGACGTTTTTTCCTTTCTTATGGAAAGCTCTTTTCCCCAGATAAACAAAAGCAGCTCTTTCAAAGCAGGAAAGTAATTCCAAAAGGCTTTTAACAGGAGAGTAGTTAGGCAAAGAGAGAGAGGGAAAAGTCACACCAGGATCATCCACGATGGTTTCTTAATGCTTAGATATTCTTTTGACTTTCGGCTGGAGCAGCTAAATGATCGGCCATGTTACTGGCCGACCTTTTCTCCGTCGGCCTGAGGAGCTGCCACGGAGCATGGAAGTAGCTGCCTCCTCCCCCCGCAATCAACAAGAGTCATCCTCATCAGTAGTCACCCCTCCAGGGTGACTTTTCGACCC